AGGAGTGGGGGGAAAATGTTGTTTTGAACATAAGTCTGAGATGCCTATTAGATATCCAAATGGAAATGTCCAGGAGGCCCTTGAATACATACGTCTAGAGATCAGGGGAGAGGTCAGAACTTGGGGTAGAAATTCTGCAGGCATTAGTATAGGGATGAATTGTAAAGCCATGGAGTTGGATGTGGTTTTCTGGGCAGTGTTCATAGGGACACGAAGAGGGCTAAGGGCCAAAGCCTTGGCATACTCCAACATTTATAGGTGAAACAGTGCCTTCGGATCCAAAAGGGAAATTGAGAAGGAGCAATTGAAGTAAGGTGAAAAAAGGTAGAAATGGAAGCAAAAAGAAGAAAGTGTTTTAAGGAGGAGGAGTCTGTTTCAATGTTCTAAAAGTCAGGTAGGCAGCTCAGCCCGTGTGGCTCAGCGGTTGAGCATCGCGTTAGCATCCAGGAGATGGTCCCATTCCGGTCGGGGCACGTTCCCTGCTGCAGCTGCATCCCCAGCAGGGGGCGTGCAGGAGGCAACGGATCAATGACTCATCATTGATCTTTCTCTTTCTCCTTCTCCCTTTTTGTCTCTGAAATCAATAAAGACATTAAAAAAAAAAAAAAGTCGGATAGGCTGAGGCTACCAAAATGACCATAGAATTTGGGACCATGGAAGTCACTGTTGACCTGGATAAGCAAAGTTTCAGCCAGAGGTGAGGATCAAAATCGCATTAGGTGAGTTGGAGAAAAGATGGGAAGTGACAAATGGAGATACCCCTTCTGAGAAAATTTTGGTTGGATGGGTCAGTGGAGAAAAGGGAGGGAGTCAAGACGTGAAGATGAAATGTGTATGAGAAATCTGATTATTTTAACTGCACATGCTGTAAGTGTTAGGCTTCTTTTCTTATCTATCATCGACCTCCTAGGGATTTCAGAGCAGCTTGTGTGAAGAATCCAGCGAGTCCCCAGCTCGCTCAGAGTATCTCCAGCCAATGAACAGGCGAGAGAGAAGCGCAGCGGGAAGCGAAGGGGGTTGGAAAGGATTTAGGGAGTTAATATGTCCTCCCAGGGCCACCGTAGGGCAGTCTCATAGCTATTATATTGTTCGAGGGGCGGAGCCGAGAGGAAATTTAAAACGAAGCCGCGGCCCAGGGCGCCCGGAGAATGATGCGCAGGGTAGTTGCAGAGTCATAGCCGGGGCTCAGGAGACAGAAAATGCTCGGGGGGTCCGCGAGTGTAATCCGGCGGCCTTGAAGAAGGAGTACAGAGGCCGAGAAAGAGCCGAGATCTGGGGGCACCGGGAAAGGGTACGGACACCGGGAAGGGGAGAAGGTAAGAAGGAAAGGGGGCAAAAGAGCTGTAGAGAGGATAACCCGGTGGGGAGGTGGAGACGGGGATTGGGGAGGGTAGAGGGGCCAGGAGGGGCCACAGGAGTTGTGTGGACAGAGATCTAAAGGGGACGGAGGGACGGAGGTCACAACTGCCAGGAAGGTGGCGCGGGGGGTGAGATGGGATGCGGGTAGGGATGGAGTTGAGTCTTGCTGCTCCTGGTGACCGCTTT